AGGTTTTAGAGATGTTTATGAATTCTCAGGGATTCTGACTAAACTTAGTCCCTCAAGTAATTAGAACTCAAAGACTACTTGTCAATGAATTCTCAAGTGTTATAACTAAAATTAGTCCCTCAAAGAATTATGACTCAAAGACTACCCGTTACTGGCTTCTCAAGGATTCTGACTAAACTTAGTCCCTTAAGGAATTTAACAATCGTGAAATACAAGATTCTCTTTACAATATTGCTTCTAAATAAGTAGATTCACAAAGTGATAATCAGACTTTACACTTGAAAATATATGAAATTGAGTGCTAAGTGTTTCTCTCTATTTTCTCTTTCTTGATAATGATTTTCTCTATTGAAATTCTTTCAGTATGTTTCTTCAATGAAGTTCGTCATTTAAGCTCTCTTGATCGTTACTCTTTTTTTTTTTTGACAATTCCTTTGTCCTCTTTATATATATGAAGAATAATATTGTTGAAGGATTTAATTGGAAACTTCTTCAATTCAACAGTTGTAAAGTTGATTCGTAAATCGTTGATAGTGGAAAGTAAATCTATGATAGCCGTTGGTAGTACAGTCTTTGAAAATATCAACAACTCTATCATTTTTATTTTTTCGCTCAAGTTGTACTATCTTCAGAGCCTTGATAAGTTAGAATTCAAATTCTAGTAAATATGAGACTTGAATTTATCAAAGTAATTCTAGATTTTTTTTACTTCAGAAGCATTGACTGGGACATCAAGAGTTTACTTTAAGTTAAGCACTTCTTCGTATTCTTATTTTGGTTTAGAATCTAATGGTGTCTGTAGCAGGGAAAATTTGTGAGTGTAAGCTATTGATCAATTTAACTAAAAAAACCAAGAGTCGCCACTGCACTTTTATTTTATCCAAAAAGGAAAGGAAAAAGAGCGAACAAAACCAAAGAGTTCTAATACAAGAACAAATAAACAGAGATCTGGGTAAGGGGTTGGTTACGCAATGGAAAGGTGTTAGCACCCAAAACGTCTATAGTACTCTATAGGAGCGCTTTAAAATATTTACGCGTTTTGGTTTGAAAAAGGTTTATTTGAAAAGAGATTGGGGAGATGAGGGAAGAATTATTTTTTAAGATTTTTGTATTTGGAGACTTATCGCCTCATGCCTACGTACCTAGAAAGTGCAATATAGGATCAAAACTCTGTAGTTCGTGATACAAATAACAAAATAGGTTTGTTATGGTTGATTTTAAGTGAAAGACAAGTCGTCATTTCCAAGCGAATAGTTTCGTTTAAATAGATGACTCATGTCTAAACTTATGGAAAAGTTTTTAAAAGAAAAGTGCATAAGGTACAAAAGTCTTGGATGAGTTTGAATGTTTTTTATGTCTTTTTGAAAAGAGTCAAAGTATGGTTAACATTGATTGATATTTATTGAAGAAAAAGAAGTTTGAAAAAAAGGAACTTGACAAAAGTCAAGGTTTTGTTGTGAAAGCGGTTTGAAGTTTGAAAGCAAATATGTTTTGAAAAAGGGAGAAGGTTTTGAAAATTGAAGAAGGGGAGGAGATGAAGTGACTACCCTAGAGAGAAAAATAAAAGCTAGAGATAAGAAGGATCTAACCAACTTGTATCACACTCCATAGCAAGTTAAAAGAATTCCATCCATCTTGAGCATAAGCAAATGAACAAGCCAAATAAAGGCAAAGATCCATAATACTCCAAGCAAAGGGAAAGAGACCTAATTCTAAGTCCAAGGATCCAAGAATAGTCCAAGAGCATAGCCACAAAGTTAAGAGCACCAAGTTTTTAGAGGTTTAGTCCTTTATTAATGCTTTGAACAGAGTGTGGTCCAAATGGACAAAAGAAAAATGGCGGAAACATAAACATGTGTCCAACGGACAAAGAAAAAATAACGGAAGCACAAACAAAAGTATGATATGAGATGAGAATAATGAAGCATAAATATAAAAGAGAGATAGAGAGAAAGAAGAAACATAAACAAAATTGGTATAATGAAAATGTTAGTGAGTTAGTAATTAGTCGTTAGAGAAAATGATCAATGACGGTTAATTCTTTCAATTAGTCCAAGGTTAATGAAAACTCATTAGAGGATTGATAAGACCAAACCCTCCTAACAACAAGCTTCATAGGTGATGGACTTAAGACAAATAATCAACCATACTTGGACTTTCAAACATAGGTTTGAGCCATGAATGATCACTTTTCCGATTACAGGATAATATAGCGCTATGTTAAGCAATCGTAATAGGGTTTATGTAGAATCCACGACTATCTGAGGCCGGTCAATACAATATTAGTGCTAATGCATGCTAGAGAAGTGATACGTAGACCACTCTCCGAAAGAAATGCCGCACGAAAAGAAAAGATGGTAATGATCTCATCTTCATCAAGAACTTGAAATAAGTTCAAAAGATATCAAATATTTTCATCGATCAAAAGAAAAAAAGAAGAGGAGAGGGAATGCCAAATTGAATTACAAGTTCAAGATCATTCCATCTTTAAGTTTATCCACTCATCTTGGTGGATTAAAGCACTAAACATATCATTAACTCAAAGCACCTAAAATGAATTGAACAATTCACTTTAAAGATAGATTTGAATTGATGAATGTTTATCCAACTTCATCTACACCCTAAGTCCAATGAATTTAAAGAGGAATATGACCTTTAAAAGTGTATTTCATGGCCAAAACCAAAAGGAAATGAAAGAAGAAGAAGTGAGAACCAAAACAGTCCCAAAACAAAGCCAAAAAACACATTTTGCACTGCCAATCGATTGCACCATTGCACATCAGAAAATCAGCAAATCTGGGCAAAAACAACAATGTGCAATCGATTGCACAAATACTGCAATCGATTGCACACTGGCAGACAACACTAAAATCAGCATTTATAAGGCAAAACCATGATCTAACATTTCTTCAAACATCTCTTGATCAAGGATGCAATTGAGCACGAAAATTCAAGTGAAATAACAGTAAATAGCACCAATGGAATACAATTTGCAAGATCCAAAGATCAAGCAACAAGAATCAACAATAGATCACATTGTGGAAGATGGATCAAGCACAACAATGGTAGAATAAGAGTTTACCACTTCAAATTTGAAAATTCTTCAAATCAAACTCCACAAATACCACTTCAAAGCTTTGATCTACAAGAATTGAGGATGAAAAAGTGAATGGATGAAGGTTTAGCTCAAAGATTAGTAAATTCTAGTGATGAACTTACCAATCTTTCAAAAGGGAGAAAGAGCTTTGGTGAATTTGGTAATTGGAGAAAACTGAAAGTCAAGAAAGAGTTTGACAAGGTAATTTGGCTATTAAAAGCTTGAGAAATGAATGAAATGAGGCCTCTATTTAGAGGATTTAGGCTTGGAAAATTTGGTGGATTGGAATTTGGTTTGAAAACAAAATTAGGCTTGGAATTTGAATTTGGAGAGAAATTCAAGATCAAGTGGTGATTAGTGAAGGTGTATGGTGAGAATTAATTGTGATGAGGTAGTGGAATTGTTTTTGGGTGATCTAGAATATTCTCAAATGATGAAATTGGTGCCAAATGCTTCAAAATTTGAAAAATGCTGATTTTGGCCAATTTCGTCCTTGTGCAATCGATTGCACTGTAGTGCGAATAGATTGCACCGCCGAAAATTTTAAAATCTAGGCAAAAAATGCAGGGTGCAATCGACTACACAGTTGAAAAACTTGAAAAATGCCCTGCTGGTTGGATTGTGCTGGCTCTGACTCGATTCTTTTGACTTTTTCAAAGAAGGCATGAAAATAAACACATGAACCTTGGAGTCTCTTGAAAATAATCAATCAATACTTGAGAACTCTTGATCAGATGATTTTGGATTGCTTGTAGATCAACTTCGACTTTTTTCAGATGAATTTCATTCTAGCTGAGAGACTGTTGATTGGTGTTCTTGATCCAAATTTCTTCCTGAAAAAGTTAGTAAAGGAAAAACAAACATTTTTGGATTTTGATTAATGGTTAGTAAACATAAACAAATACCAAACAAGCAAGAAAACAAAGGTTCCCGGTGATCTCTCAAGATCATACCTGCAGAGGAAGGCAAGAGAACCAAAGCTTGCAATCTTGTTTGTGGGATGAGATACAAATGACATGTGGGATCTTAGGGGTAAAAATTAGGGTATTACAGTGTCTAGAGTTCGGAGTATGATGACGTCCAGATTCTTTCTTTGTCCAGAGTCTAGAGACTCTCTTTGTCTAGAGTCCAGAGTTCGTTTTGCTCACTTTTGATCAACGTCTTCCTTGTTCAGAATCTGCTTTATCCAACATCTGACTTGTTCAGATTCTGCTCTATTCAACATCTAACTTGTTCAGATTCTTCTCTATTCAATATCTAGCTTGTTCAGAGTCTGCCTTATCTAGATCATTATCAAGAAAGAGATCATTTAGAAAATTCATAATGATGTTATAAAAACGACGAAAGAGACAGAGGAAAACAATACTTTTAGGCTTGGAAATAGTTTATAAGTAGATAAGGGGTGAACTGTTCCGATATACTTTGGCTCTCTATCATATACGATAATCAATACCGAATTGAATGTTTGTCTTGATTTTAGGGTAGATCACGGTATTTTTTTTTTTTTGTTTTTTTTACTTTTCATGATGGAACGTGATTTTTGATGGTGATTTTGGCTGCTTGAACTCTAACCTGATCCCTAAGATATAAGTCGTAGTCTCTTGGATGCTTTTCTTACAAATATACCTATTTTTCCATTAAAAAATATACTAATAAAAAATGACAAATATAATAATTCATAAATCACACAATTCTTTTATTTTCGCTGAGTGAACTTATTCCATAAAAGCATTGGAATTCACACCAATATCTCACATTTTACAACAAAGCTTGCAAACAATATTTCGTAAGTAGTCTAAAATCATTGTTCATCATATTCCTGACACAGGGTTTTTATGTTACACAACACATTTCATTCACTTATTTAAATAGTAGTCTTAATAATTAATTTCCAACTCACTTCCTAGAGCTGAAAAATCCCATCTTGTAGAAATAATGGATATGAAATATCAGTAGCAAATGGAACAAAGTTTGTGACAGAAGTATTCTCCAACACCTGTAAAATACAATGAAATAAATTAGAATACATTTTTCTAACAAAGGTTTTGCTACTTTCTAATTTCTAATTAAAATCCATATTTAAAAAATAGAAAGAAAAATGAATATATTACCAAATCGTGGAGATATGTATTTGCTGCCTTAAGTGTTCCCTCCTTAAATAAATATAGAGTAAAATATTGACTCAGTTATTAACATAAATTATAGAACAAGAAGAAGAAGAATAAGACTAGATTAATAGAGACATAATATCAAAGATATATATTTATGCTAACCTTATCTCTCAAAGCTTGAATTTCTTGTGACATAATGTTCATCTGTAGTTTATAATATGTGGCACAATTATTCATTTTTATATATTCAATACAAGAGGTAATTTATAAATAAATATATAATAATATTTTTGACAAAATAAATATACTATGATAAAATAAATTTATGGGCACCTTCATTGAGCGAACGTGATACATCCAGATTTCAAGATTCTTCTCAAGAACCTGTAGTTCATCCATTGCCATTGTCCCTAATCCCCCTCCAAACAAATACCTACAAATATTTTTAATATTCTTAGTATTTAGCATAATCATAAAAAATATGTATATCCACCTCACACAATTTATACTTTTATTACTATTAATTTAAAAGTTTAATTATCCTTAAATTATATACAATTACAACATCACAATTATTCATAGACATGACTTTTAAAGTAATTATAATTTAAGTCAAATATGTTTTATCATTTAACTATTGTGATTGAGTGATAGTATAAAAATTCTTTATACTAATAATATAAATGAATTAAATTCTTAATGAATTATTTTGTTGAGAAACAAAGACTAAGGTATTTTACCTGATACCCTTTTGCAATGTGTCGATTTCTTGCTTGAGCACATTGGTTTCCTCTTTAGCATCCTAGATATCAACAATTTAGCATCATAAATAGTGTGACAAGACTACTACTTTTAAATTTGAAAATCACAAATAAAAATAAATAAACAATAATGTCGTAATTTTAGCTCTCAAATCACACACTAACATTTTTAAATATTTAACAAGTACTTACTTACAATGTTACTATTTGCTTTTTAAAATAATATTATTGTTTCAAATATCAATCCGACATACTTTATCATCTTAGAATCAAGTGATACATGTGTCAAAACAAAACTAAAGAGAGAACAAAAGTACCTTGATTTGAATATATAATAAAATATATTATATATTTTCATAGACACTATCATCTTATTATATAGTTTCATTATTTAGTGATGCAAATGCACCAATTAGAGCATCTAATACCACTTATCACTACTCATTTATACATTATAATATATAATAAGCATGCATAACTTTTTTTTTTCTCTATTTTTATTCTAAAACATTCATGTTATAAAAATATATCATTTTAATAGCATAATATATCTAGCTAGAGAAACATACCACTAGCAGATGATGTGGTTCAGTGATAGCTTCAGATTGAGTCCCATGTGTGAACTTCAAGTACCTCTCTATTACCCCTTGCATGGTTCTTAAATTCATATATTGAAACACAAACAAAGAAAGTGAGACTTTAGTCACCAAAATATGCATTTTTGGATCTTAGTTTACCCTCATGCAACATGCACGCATTACTATAGATATCATGTTTTGATCCTCTGCATCACTATGCATGACTATATACGCTAGGCCACATATAGTGTTGTAGAGAATCCAAAGTTCTGCATTGCATGGATGTACATACTAGTTCAGGTAAGCTCTTGCGGAGAATCCAAAAACTTTTGTTCGAGTATACTATTGATAGAAAGAAAGAAAAAGAGATTACCCTTTGGTGGCGAGTTCATAAAGCTTTCCATGAGCGGAGAAAATGACGAGGCCAATTTCAGCATCGCAAAGCACGGAGAGCTCCTTAGCCTTCTTCAGAAGCCCCGCTCGGCGTTTACAGAAGGTTACTTGTCTATGCACAGGGTTCTCAATTCGCTTCAGCTGAACCTTTCCACGAGCCATTTCGATTTTCGATGAATTCAAATTGAATTAATCAACAAGTATTTTGATTTTTTGGTGCAATTCTATGCACACAACCTCCCACTAGTTTGAACTAGCTTCGAGGTTGTTGCAGCAAACAGGTTAGTACTCTCTCTTAGAGTTTCTTACTAATTTTCTCTCATTTTCTGAGGATTGAAAGCCTTATATAAGCATCATCAAATTTTCCTTCCCACAAAGGAATCTTCACTCGGTAAAGTTAATTAATAATTAAGTAACAACACTAACAATGAGTAATTAACTATAATTAACAACTGTTAGTAGCCAACTTTACACCTCATTAAGTAGTGATTAGTCTCTATATATTAATTAATGATCACTTAGTTAGTGTATGGGTTCTAATGAATTTGATAATGCGTCAAATCAAAGCATGTGATACTAAAGATTGTCTGGTCATTTCAACTTTTAGAATATGGTTCATTTTACTAAAATATTTATGTGCATAGGCTTTATTCTGGTTTTATTGGTGGAACCTGTGCATGTTCTATATCATGCAAGAAAGGGGCAACTGAAAATATAATATATATGCTATACTAATACTACTCTGTTATGCACTTGCAAGGGATCTTTTTTACCATGTTTAATTAGTACAGATATATTGTATAAGATTGCAGGGATGTGACCAACATTTAAAAAGAAATTTGCATGAAACCAATAGGCAATGAATACATGATTTTGAAATTAATTAAGAATATATTTGGAAATAAAGATCTATAATGGATAACCAAAACAACACAAGGGAAGAATGTTAATTATCTGAAATGTAAATTTATTCTTATTGAAATGTACTTTTTAAGGAGAGGGATATTTAGGCCTATATTTGGAGAAGGAGGATAAGGTGTATCATGTCTAAAACATTGATATAAAATATTTATATTGAAGTATGTTTCAAAATCTCAAGTGATATATATAGAAGTTTTTGTTTTTTGTTATTTTGTTATTTGTTTTTTTTTAGCACCGGTATGTGCGAAGGTTTGACGGCCGAACACTGGTGGTTCAATGGAGTTGGAACGGTAGTGGTGATAGGGTGGTGGGGATAGGTTGTGGTGGTCAGCGGCTCACCTCGGATTGGGTCATTGTTTAGATTAGCAAATTTGATTTATTAGAGTTTCAAGTCTTTATAAATGCAGTTCCTCGTCCCTTTTGAAGAATGATGAGAGACATGGTGAAATCATGGTAAAAGAAACTTAGAGATAAAGGAAGAGGTTTTTAGGATTTAATGTTTTAAGAGTTGAAAGACCTTTTGGAATATTTAAGGAGATTGAGAAAGACTTATAATCACATTAGGTTTGAGTATTTTATATATTGAAAGGATGAGATATTGTAAAAACCTGGTAGAAAATAGGCGTTGTTTTTTTTTATAAGCTTGTAATACCATTTTATTGTAACTCATTGAAATATTTGATAACAACTGTTGAAGTAAATTGGATTAGAGAATTGCTCTATCTCTATTAGAGTAGATTAGTTTGATCAAATTTGATAAACAAGTTATGTGTGTTCTCGTCTTTTATTTTATTCTTGCTCGTGTGAATTTACTTACATTGTTTGGTTGATTAATTTTTCTCAATGCCGATCATTTTTTTTGTCATTGTTCCTAGACATCAACGTTCCTGGTGTGAATCATATTTTCAATTCGATTTCATAACAAATAGTGCCCACCAATAGGCGAAAAGTTTATGAAATTCTGGCAATCACACAGTGGATGTTATCACGGATGTTATGACATCCACTGTAACACAGACTACTGGACTTACTAATAAGTTGTAAATGGAAAGCAGTAAATAACACAAGTAATTGTTCACTCAGTTCAGTGTCAACCACACCTACATCTGGGGGCTACCAAGTCAAGGAGGAAATTCACTATTAGTAGAATTAATTCAGAGTCAAACAACCCGTTTGCAACTCCGCACTTAAGACTTACCCAATGACACTTCAGCCTAGAAACCACTAGACCAGAGTTTCCCACTCACTCCCCCTCAATCACTGCAGTGATAACAAATACACAATTACAATGGAGATAATGAAGACACACTTCAAACACACCTTGATCTTGCTTCACAACTTTGATCAAGAGACACACACGTTTGCTTAACACCTTTGAGTGACACAATGAACACACCAGTTCATACATAATAACCAAAGTAATTATACAACATACAATTGCTTGGCACACAAGGAATACTAAGATTCCTAAAAACACGTGAAGAGCAAAGATCTTCACTCACAAATCACACTCTCCAATCTCTCTCCAGAAGCTCTGCCTTCAAGCTATCTGCTATTTGGAGTGATCCTTCTGCTATTTATAGCAGTAGACTTGCTTTGGGCCTTGATGGAGAAACTAGGTTTACCCACGATAAAGCTCTCTTCATAAAGCTGCACCGTTATCATTAGGTCAAGAGTCTTCTATGTTATCCTCAACAATGTCTGTTATGTCGCCTAAGATAACTAGGCTTCCTAGATTGTTTCCTGAAGTATAGCCTAAGCTAATAATAGAAAAACTAACACTGCGCGCCCTGATGTCATACGCTTGATGTCATAACATCCAGCATGACATTTAGCTTCACTTACTCTTAGCTCTCCCTGCAGAACACTCTTCAAGTATGTCATAACATTAGTTATGACATTCATACATACATTAATGTTTTGCCATAAAATGCAGCCAATCAAAAGCATCTACAAACTGCCCCTTTGGCAAATTTTTGGCTAAAACACTCTGTTACAGTATCAGAGATTACAAGCAGCAAAAGTCATACCATTTAACCTATCATGCAGGAAAGCTAGCTAAAACACACTCACACTGTTAGCTCTCAGCTTCTCAGGGTCAACCTGTTCACATACAATCATTTGTTAGTCAGCACTACAGATGTCACAATATGTTGAGTAACATTCTGGGTTACTCCCCCTCAACTGATGCATACTACATCGACTGTACACAGCCTGCACAGCTTGCAGTCACACACAAATTATCCAGGCTTTTCTGGATGTCAAGACATTCAGGATGACATCCTGAAGAACAAAATCACCTGTTACATCCTGTGCTACTCCCCCTGAAATAATGCACAACCCCACATACATTCTACAAACACCCTATCACCTGTTACATCTTGTGCTACTCCCCCTGAAACAATGCACAGCCACACATACATTCTGCAAACACCCTGCAGATACACACAAAACTAATAGCTATCCTACTACTAGGTTCCATCAAGAAACACACACATCTAACATACATTCCTACACTCATTAGGAACTCACACATGCAAGCATGCACACTAGCAGCAACATGCAATCAAGTCTTCCACCTGCTCTTCCACCTATGAAACAAACCATTCTTACACCTCTCTAACCTGCTGTTATCTAACACTCTCTCCCCCTTTTTAGCCACGAATTAAGATCAAACTAATAAAATAGTATGGATCATAATGAGTAACATTACACATGTTTAGGGTCATTACAAAAACTGCTCATGAAGAGCATCACAAAATATCATGCTGTCACAAAAGTCAAAACAAAAACAAAGAAATATTCAAACCAGCAGCACACCCGCATCAGCCCAGGTACCTATCATTCATCCTCCTCAGAGGAACTGGAATCACTGTCATCCGAATCTGACAATGAGATGTCCTTATTTATGTCATCAGGGTCGTCCTCAGGCATATCAGAATTGTGAGGTGGGTCCATGCGAGCCAGGGGAATGGTGATGCCCCGAAAAGGCAGCCCTTTCTTGAGTATATCATCGACAATTTCCCCAATGGATTTGTCCACGTATGCCGAGTCTTCCCTGTTTCTGATTCGCTGAAGTTCTTCAGCAGTGGGAGGAGGATACTTGCGCTTGGGTTCTTCAGCAGTGGGAGGGGCACCTTTTGAGGATTTGGGAGGGGTCTTGGATGAAGATGCATCATGATGGAAAGACATCTTGTTGCTGGGTGCAGACTGAGAATTCTGCAGAGTGTGGGAGGCGGAGGAAATTTTATACGCAGTGATATAGCACGTTTGGGTGGAATGGAGAGCTTTTGTGGTCAAGGTCGTGGACTGCATTGAAGTCCTCATACATGCAAATACCCAATTTTCCTCTTAGATTCTCAAATTCAGCAGCATCTAGAGCCTTTGTAAAGATGTCAGCTAGCTGTAGTTCAGTGGACACATGTTCCAAGGAAATCACTTTGTCTTTCACAAGGTCTCTTATGAAGTGATGTCTTATATCTATGTGCTTAGTTCTGCTATGCTGGATTGGGTTCTTGGAAATATTGATAACACTAAGATTGTCACATTACAATGTCATGACATCCTGAGTGACATTGTATTCAGTTAACATTTGCTTCATCCAGACCAGCTGAGAATAACTACTACCAGCTGCTATGTATTCAGATTCAACAGTAGATAATGAGACATAATTTTGCTTTTTGCTGAACCAAGATATGAGGTTGTTCCCTAAGAAGAAGCATCCAACAGAGGTGCTCTTTCTATCATCAGCACTTCCATCCCAGTTAGCATCACAATATCCAGATAATGTAGGATCACACCCATGAGAGTAGAGTATACCATAGTCACAAGTTCCATTCACATATTTGAAAATTCTTTTGACTTGATTTATGTGACTTACCTTAGGGTCTGCTTGGTATCTAGCACGCACACCAACTGCAAAGGCAATATCAGGTCTGGTGGCTGTTAGATACAGAAGGCTGCCAATCATGCTTCTATATAAGCTTTGATCAACACTAGTCCCACTTTCATCTTTTGATAACTTCAGATGAGTAGGTGTAGGTGTTATTTTGTAACCAGCATTATCCAAGCCAAACTTTTTGACTATGCTTTTGGTATACTTACTTTGGTAGAGAAATATAGAATCCTCCATTTGCTTGACTTGCAGTCCAAGGAAGTAAGTTAATTCACCACACATGCTCATTTCAAACTCAGATTGCATGTGATTGACAAATTGTTTCACCATTTTTTCTGGCATCCCT